TGGGGTGCCATCCGGTCATGGACAATTGCAACAGTTTCATCAAACGTCACACCCTTGCTCTGCATACTATCTTCTTCACGATTTGAAATAAAAGCGACAAACCCCATTCCATAATCATAATAACTACACGATTCGACTAAATCATGAGCATGTGTTTATGAATCAAGTTTGTGTTGTTTCTTTTTTATGTTTAACACCGCTCTCAGCAATATTCCAGCTATATGACGGCGGTCTGTAAATAATCGTGTCTGGACCAGACAATCCAGTGATTGACATCATGAGCATCGATCCACGACATTGGGACAGCTGAAACAAGGAGGAATGAATCCGTGAGAGATTGAGAGAGTGAGTGAAGACAGTAATATCCGAGCTATTTCACAGTGACTGTCTATTCTGGTCAGCATGAGCCGTGTAGATGATCCACACCATCAGTGTATGAAGAGATACCATCATCGACATGTTCATTTGTTGTTTAACTTCACACTTAGCAATATTCCAGCTATATGACGGCGGTCTGTAAATAATCGAGTCTGGACCAGACAATCCAGTGATTGACATCATGAGCATCGATCAACGCAATTGGGACCGATGACATGCATCAACCAAGTCAGCGAGCCTGACAATCCGATCTTGTTAGTGGCACCTTAGGGCTCAGTCACACATTCAGGGATTTTACTGCCGTCCTTGATAGGACCATTCCCGATTAAAATTTGTCAAAGGTCTGACCAAGAGGATAGTAATCCGACTTTTTCATTTGTCGTGTCGTAACGCTGTCTGATCTCAAACGGGAGCCATAATCGACACTGTATGAACCTGGCCTTACGACAAGCATAGGTTGCTGAAGACCTATTCTACCCCGGATATTCACGGGTCGTTTATGAATCAACATCAAATAGTGATGATACTGGGTGTTCGCGAAAGGGTGATCGTATCCTGTCCCACGGGAAGCACCCGTCACAAACACATGCAAAGGCAAAGGCAACTGTTCGCCTGAAAACACACGGGAACATTAATTTGGTACAAAAAGTCAAAATAGGCAATTGCATCGGCCATCATTCTTGTCAATGATGCGTCAAATGTGAAAACATGCTGACTCCACATATACAACATAGATCTTGAAGCTTAGCTGAGACCTTGAATGGTATAATCCAAATCAAACAACTTGTTGACACGCTTTGAGGTCAAAAGCTTTGAAATGTTAACACCAAGGGCTGGTGCTGCTACACATAACGCTGCATTCGTTGGCGGTTGATGTTATCTATCAGCGGAACAGCAGGCCACAGATGGTAAGATTTCGTCAGGCTCTTAATCCAGCAGAACTTCTTCAGTAGACGATCGTGATGCAGTGATCGTGGACTGACGGTAGTGCTGATATACAGGTATGTATGAGCTTGTTCTGCTTATAATAGAAACTAGATGTTTTTAAGAACATATTAATACTCAAAAGCAAACATTACTGCCATCACAGTTACATTTTCACCTTCTATATCGCACTCAAAGATCAGTCACTATGGTTTTATTCAACATATTTTGAAGCACATTCCTCGAAACACCTCTCTTTGTTCGTTAACGACATACCATTCCAGCTGTATAGCGGCTGTCTGTAAATGAGCAAGTGCATTAAGATTTAAATTGTACCGATGTTTTTAATTGGACTCAATAAATATTCTGCCTTCAGATTTTTTTTCATAAACTTTGATGCGCGTCCTTCTTGTTTACCTCAGTGGTAATTAAAATGCACATACATCTACCCTGATCTGTCTTAACAAGTACGTACACAGTTGCATATCAGATTTAATCAATTTGTCAATGTTCCAAACCTCATTTAAAGGTCCAGTATAAGGCAGTTTAGAGGAACATAAAAGGAACATTTTGAAACAATGCTGAGATGAGGTGACATGGGGTTTAACGTCGCGTTCAAGATTATTGCACTTATGGCGATGTGCATGTGACTGTTTGTACTAGTCAGGACTAATGTCGGCTTCATAATGCTTGCCCACTGAGATACCATGCCGCAGTTTAACCTTGGTACCTCATTCGGATACACTGTACCGACTCCGAAGCGACCAGTCTTTGTTTTATCCCTTTAATGCCGAATGGGTGCAGGAGATACACACGTCTAAGGCGCCGCGATTCGCAGTGCAGAATCACGTCCCTTGGGCACGCAAGAAACCTATGATTGTGGGATCGAATCCCGGTTCGCCCCGATTGTTTATCTGACCAGCACCATGAGAGATGCGGGGCCTGGCTGATATGCGTTATCGGGTTGACACTTGGCAGTCTAAAGATAATGGAACGTCGTCGTTAGTTGTAGTGTTCCCTTATTTCACAATTTCCAATTCTTAATATGTGGCATTTAACGTGATAAAATATTTGTCAAACTTTGTCCATTTTCCCCATATCAATAATATTATTGAACACTGTTACAGTAAAAGCACATGTCAGGTTGAAGTAAAGCTGTACTAACACATGGCTTGTGTTGTGTTGCAGAGGGATAGACATCGCAAGACAATAGAAAATGGCCTACAGACTGCTAAGAAGCGGATCATTTAGATCAATCAAGAGTTGTTTCCCCTTCATGGTCCTTGTTTTCGTCGTCCAATATTACCTTCTCAGTTGGAACCCGTCTTGCCAGAATGATCGAAGCGACAATCATCGCAACTTTAATCACGCCAGGTCTGGAGATGACGACCAACCACAGAACAGCATTCAGCAGAACCATATCCCTGTGGCTGTTCCAGCTATGATTTCTCATCCCGGTCTCCATGTCGCAACGTCAGGAATGGATCTGTATTTTGGCGAAACTATTGACGCTTACTTCCTTTTGTGCGGCCCCCGCGTGTTTCGGTTTCGGAACTATTTAAGTGTACTGAGCGCCATCTATGTAGTAAAGCCAACAAAAATTATTTTAATTCATACACACGAATTCGAAATAGACAATCATCGCTACAACACATGGCTTCAACTGTTATTCGACACGGTACCAAATTTGGCAACAATGAAAGTAGATGCTCAATTTTCATGTAATGCAGACATAAAGGAAGCCATCTTTACCAAAATTCAATCTGCGATTTTTATTGGTTTAAACACAATAATGGCGGAGTTCCCAGTATATCTGCGTCAAAGTAGTTCGCCAATTGGCTCAGCAAATACTGGAGAGGACGAGGGCTTCCTTTACATCAAAAGGCAACAAAATGATTCAGTATACACTCACTCTGACGTCACCAATTGTGCGACTAAAGAGAACTTCGACACAAGCAACGGTGATATTTGTCTTGTACTGGACACAGATCTTGCCCCCAAAGACATTTGGACTCTAGACACACCGTTTGGAAAGTTAGCAAGGAAACTCGCTTATCAGTATAATCAGATTATCACGCCTCGTCAAGACTATGACACACTTGCCCCAAGAATCGGACATTTCTTTTGGTTTGGTGCTAAAACGTTTTCTTATGGAAATTATCTGAGTGTACTCAGTGCCTTGTATGTTGCTGGGCTTGGGAAGATATATTTTCATGGAGTAAGGCCGAAACATTATCTGTTTGAAAAACTTATTCGGGAGGAAAATGTGACACATGTCATCATGCCTGAATTACGTCATATATACAATCACCAGCTTAAGTACACAACACACAATGCCGATATCGGCAAGCTGTACGTATTGACAAGGTATGGAGGTGTTGCACAGGATACGGATGTATTCTGGACTCGGCGAATCAGCGATGAACTTCTTGCCTATGAAGGTGTCGTGAGTTTTGATTGGCCAGAGCATGGAGAATTTCCAGAAGTGTTTAATCTGGGCGTTCTGATGGGGAAACCGAATGCTTTCTTTTTCAAGGCTTTGCTTAACGAAATGAAAGATTACCGCGATGACACTGTGCATCATTTAGCGATGAGGCTCCCGTACAAAACATTTGAGCAGTATCCATCAAGTCTCAAAACAGAGCACCATCTTCAGGTGATATGTTGGCTGGGAAAATGTCACCCAAGCTGGCTTCCAGAATACATTAAGCCATTGAATCCCGATCTACCCGGCAGCGAGTTTGATTGGGAAAAAGAAACATTTGCTGTTCACTGCACCTGGCCAAAACCACCATTCGAGATGAGCAATTTTGAAACTTTGCGATCAGCTGAAGGGCTGTTCGCCGACATTGGACGTAATATTTTACGTAATGCTGGCCAACTATAAAGTTTATCTATTACGTCAATTCCACTGGAGCGAGTGAGCTGGGTTTAACCACGCTTTCAGCAGTATTTCAGTTATATCAGCTTCATATTGGAGGAATGCCCAAATGTGAAACCCACGTCTATGGGTGTGGTGCAGACAAACCAAGAATCCAATTCTGATCGAATCATCAGACTTTGGTATGCCGGAGTGATGCAACTGTACACAGCAAATTGCAGCACCTCAGATGACCCATTCGATTGTAAATAAGTTATTAAGTTTGTTTCAAATACATACAAGAAAAGATTCTTTGCTGTGCACATGCTTTTTCTGGATATGAAACAATGTAATCATCGCCAATTAACCCATTCCGTAACCGTCACAGATCATGCATAAATCTTCATAAAGATCCTTATCTCACCCAAATCCTGTGGGAATTTCAGGTTAGTCCACAGCATATGCTGTTTGAAAGAGGCGACAGAATGGATAGAGATAATGGATAGATAATGGCTGTTGACTTGATAATGGCTGTGACTTGGTTCATATGCTGGAATTGTACCTGGACAGTGTGGATCATTGTTAATATCAAGGAATGTACTGTTAGGTCTAGACAATTATAGGCAACTGTGATATAGATAGAATGTTGCGGAGTGAGGAATGAAACAAACTGCGCCTTACTGGCTTGAATTTACAGGTAGTCACTGAATTAGGAGTCACATGAGCTTTTAAGTTGTTTTCAATCAAATCAATTACCTTACACAAATTTGAATAAAGTTAAATGTTTGCCTCGTAACAAATATTTGAATAGCTGGAAAGTAATAACAGAGTCAGTATATTTATTGCGGCTTCTTGTGTCAGATTTTATTTTCATGACATTTACAAAACATGAAATGTACTTTCAGGACTTGGACATAATTTGAAGTCATCTGTATTCACATATGCAGCCCAAGGATTCAATAACCTCTTTGAAAAACATGTCAGTCTGAATTTGTATGTTCCTGTTAACCTTGCAAAAACAAGTCAAGTACTTTCACAACCTCCATTTTTTAGTGAAGTAGTGAAAGTTGATTACAGCCTTCACAAGATCATCAGGATCTGCAATAGTATTGTGAAACAGATAAGAGTCTTGCTTGTGTTAAGACATCAGTTATGTATCTAAGTCCAGTGATCAGAATTTTATTCCCAACACCTTGCTGATTCACAATTGCTATGGGAAGCTGATGGTGCCACAATGAGGCAAATTTTCAAGATCAGATGGACTTGAAAACTTGGATGCAGCAACAGTAATTCTTCTACGATCCCCTTCCTCCCTGAAGGTGAAGCTTGCTTGTTTCATGCTTGTCTTGTACTTGTATCAAGCAAATCCCTCTTCAGACAGACATCCTCTTGTGCTGACCTGTCCAATACGAAGATAAACAACCTCTTAGCAATTCACTTGGTAAAGGTACCACAATAAAGATGACATCCAAAAAACTTAGGTCTTCACTAAACAGTTGTATCATATAATATAGACAGAAGCCCAGGAGTGTTTGTTTGTGAATGATCGAAGCCTGAAATAATTGAGTCTGGACCAAACATTCCAGTGATCGAAATTGTGAACAACCATCCATGCCTTCGGGTAACAAGGACATGCCAAGAACCAAGTTTGACCAACCCATGCCTTTTACATGGCCTAATTCTAGCCCGGAATCCCCAACGGGAACTTAAGGGAGTAACCATTCACTAAAGATTGGTGCATTGCAGAATTCTCTGCACTCTCTAATTGTACCATACCATCAACTGTAATACAGTGAGTGAGTGAGTATGGTTTTACGCCGCTTTTAGCAATATTCCAGCAATATCACGGCGGGGGACACCAGAAATGGGCTTCACACACTGTACCCATGTCGGGAATCGAACCCGGGTCTTCGGCATGATGAGCGAACGCTTTAACCACTAGGCTACCCGACTGCCCCCAACTGTAATACAAATCAATACAAGTATATATAGGGGCGACATGTACAACAGCATGAACAAAAATTGTAAAATGCCATTTTGTATTTGCACATTGCACAGCCAATTCCAGCACCTTACACCACTATACTGAGACAATCTAAGAACTAGTAGCTTTCTCTGTACATGTAGTTATGTTACACAATCAACTAAGCCCCAAAATATTGTGGACTAGGTAAATTTTACTGCTGAAGTTTACACATTGTGACAATACATGAATAGAATTGTCTTTTATCAAGTGTGCAACAGGGTACTCATTCAGATGTGCCAATTAGAATATAAAGTGCAAAAGTGTTGAAAAATTCCTTTGTTTACAAAACCCAGGATATCTAAGCATGCCCTTCAGGTACCACTGATTGGCACAATAATGAAACACTATTAATACTTAGTCCATATCATTCATAGGCCTTTTGTCGGATAATTGTAAGGTGTACAATTTACTGCTATGATTAGTAGAGCAACTGGTACCTCAATTCAAAAGCCAAATTTAGTATAGATGACCACAAAATACTCAAGCAGAATACTTGCCTGAAGACAATTGAACCTTTTGATTCTGAAATTAATAATCAACTGGGAATGACTAAGCAATGCATCTTTCCTAAATTTACTTACACAGCTTGGATCGGTTTCATCCTGTAAGGAGATATTCAACGCTGTATGAAAGGGCATGTGAGTTTGTTACACATGCTATTTCAGTCCCAAGAACTGAAGAAAGAGAAAACAAATATTTATAACCGCATGATGAAGAACATGATGTAGAATATTCACATGTGATCTTAACTCGGTACTCCTAACCAACAGAAAAACAAACTGTGAAAAAATGGCATCTTATTTTAGTGCCTCTCACAATGCACATGGTTGAGCAGGGTTTTTTTGCTGGTGCAATTGTTAAAAAGAACAGTTATGTGCAAAATAAAAAAAAAGATTGATGAACTGTTTATACCAACCTTCAATAAATCTTCTTAAGCATGTTACTAACCTTTTATCCTTGCATTGTTCACAAGGATATTTAGCTTTTAATCTCTTTAGTCACTTAACAAGCTAACCTGATCCTATTCGCAAACGAGCTGAAACACTGCTGATGCGATATTGAGAAACTTTCATTCCCCTCTTTACTTAACATGTATTATATGTTTGTAGCCAATAAAAGCCCTACTCCAAAATGTTCAAGAAACAGTTAGTATTAAGATTTCAGTCAGTGGTGGGTTAGTTTGTCTTGAGTGTATTCTAGTTTTGGTTGAATAACATTTCAAACCTTGATACTGTACCAAATTCAGAACATTTGCAACCTTGTACTCTTATGAGCAAGGTTACCTAGTCACAATACAAAATGAACAAAGTCTCCAACTTCATTCTTCCTGCCCTCCCAATCGAAAGTCCTGAGAATAGATGCAGAATACTACCAATTGTTGCAAGATTAACCGTGAAATAAAAAAGGAGCAAATAAAGCAACACCAGGGTGCAATGATGATACGCAACACGACGCATCGCGTTTCCGTTCTCACGATAGGAAACATATTGCTACAACAGTGGTCAAAATAATGGAAAATTTGGAAAAGTGATCTAAGTGTTAGAATGTGACAAAACAAATCCTAAGTTTGGTTTTATTTTCTTCCAATGTAGCAATATTACTGTTATCGTGGATATTAACCATTGCAATCCCCATTGGATACTCAGCGAAAACTGCGGTAAATACTCCAAGAAGCTTAAAGCGGAGGAAAGTCATAAAGATGCCGTTCGCGATTCTATACACAAATGTGTGTCAAATCTACACGGCAATAACATCAAGAAGGAAACAGAATGCTGAATAAATAACAATTATGAACAGTTTTTCAGGCCAAAAGGATTGCCACCAAATTTTCTAACAATCATCATCCTGTTTCCTTTAAAACTTACACTGTCTTCCGTCTTCTAGGAAAGTATTCTACAAAGATGCAATTGTTGTGACGCAACCGATTTATTTATAACAATAATATACTGAGACAATAAAATATGAGAATACAAAGTACATGAATGTAACTTAAAAGACAATGAAGACTGATGACACACTAAAAATCTCTGACACACGAGAATGCTGCAACGCTTCAGGGGTAGACGACGTCAGCGAATTATTTCATAATTTGTAGGACCATGTAGAAACAAAAAGTCTTTAAACTCTTGTATGACAACAAAAAAGCTGTGTTAAGCTCGATTCCATGACGAAACCATCCCCCTCGCACGTCATTTATCCTCGCACTCGATTCAGTAGGGCGCAGGCACGCGGGCAACCGCTGGCGAAGCACGATTTGCCTTTGGGGGCGGCGGCGGGTAGCTGTATATGCAAATAAAAACATGACTTATACTTCCATTGTATATTACAGCACACCCATAGAGCTCTAAAAGCAATATGGCTTTTGGACAATATTTTTGGACAGCGAGAATTTCGTAACCGGTCATAAACTTCCAAATTGCTGAACAATTTGCCTCTTCAACAACTTCTATACAAGCTGAAGTGGTTGATTTCAGTAACACGATGCCCCATGTTTCTCTTGCTGTTAATGTCACAGTAACCGAAAATTGTTTGATGCAGTTCATAAAAATAGCTTTCAAAATCTCAAACATATTTTACAGTATATTGTATAATTCTCTACATTATATTGAATAACATCAAAAATGTATTATATGCAGTTGCCCAAAAAAATGCAACTTGTTTTATCTTTCACATTAACACAAATGGGAAGCAAGCTGAGTCACATTAGTCGCTAACAATAACAAGTGAAAATGCTTCGTATCATCTGCAATAGCTGTCAGGATTGTGTTAAAATAATTTTCTACTTCTTGCTGTATATCATCTACCCATGGACACATATTTGTTTAGTAAACACTTATACAATACTGTCATTCATTCAATTGGTGTAGTTATTAAATGTAAGATTCCTTTAAAAGTTGCATTAGTTTCATTAGGAACATTAAAGACTAGAAATCTTCTCACGGTCTCTCTCTTGCATAGTAGTCATAGTAAGGATCTCTGAAAAAGAAATTTCACATTCATAGTCTAAACACACGCAGAACTAAACAAACATATATTTGATTTGACTTGAGCAAAGACGATGTGTGATTTGGCAGTTAACATGTTTAAAAAGATAATGGGTCATTGACACCAGAGGATAATCATGTGACCATAACTGAATGACTCTTCTGTTTTTAAAAACATGACAGCAAAAGAGACATGATAATAAAGGCAAAACTGGAACAGACAATAAAAAAAAGTACCTTTAAAGCCATGACCTTTCTTTGTTTCTGAATATGACCTCATTAAGTCCCTACCTACATGAAACAGTTTCTTGCAGTTTTGACCAGCAATATGTATAGAGGCTTACCTTGGGGGTGGTGACCTTCTGCCATAGTACTCCGGTGGGGGCCTGGCATAGGGGTCTCTCTCTCTGTAGTATGGATCCCTTGGGGGTGGGGGAAGGGGGCGTCGATCATAGGGGTCAGCATATGGCCTGTATCTGTCCATAGGGGGAGGAGGCAGGTAACGGTCTCTGTAGTAGGGATCATCATATGGGTCTCTGTAGTAAGGATCTCTAAGATCTCTGGGATCCCTGTATGGAGACTTGTACGGATCATCGCGACCAGGTTTGCGAGGAGGTCGGGACCTGAAAAGGCATCCAGAAAATGATGCCAGTGATATTATCAAAAGAGACATGACAGTTACTGAATATTATCTAGGTATTATTCACTATGTTTACCAAGTTAATTTTACTTAAGTTTAGTTATTGTTGAGTCAGCATACTCTGGGAGGAAAGCCTGTCTTGATGCAGGTCCTATCAGTTTGGTGGGACTCATGATGACACGGTTAGTCCCAACAAACTGAGAATCATAATCAGGATGAATGTAGGATTCAAACCTACGATCATAGGATTGAGGCACATCCAAGAAACTTGATTCTGCACAGCTAATTGTAGCGTTATCATAAACAAAGTTCAATTGAATCACATGAAAGGAGTAAGCAAGCGAATTTTGTTTTACATTCCAGTCAGCTATATTACAACTATATCTGTAAATGACAGAATGTTTGTTCAGAATGCAAATAATAGTATGGTTGGTTCCTGAGTAAATGAATATACATCTTTGGGCAAAGGACAAATTTACGTCAACTATTAACTGTAACAAAACATTCTACTTACGGTCCTTTGGGGCAATCTTTTGACCTGAAACAAATATGAACAGGATTTTTGATACATTATCAATATGGCAGATAGATAGATGGATGGATGTATGGATGGATGGATGGATGGATGGATGGATGGATGAAATACAAAAGTCCAAAGATGAGCTGTATAATTTACTCAACCTGTTTCACGCATGTGATGTTCAAGAGTAAAGTTATACCGTTACGCTGTTTTTCTTGATATTATATATATATATATATATATATATATATATATATATATATCTATATATCATGATATATCGGTCTGAATCCAACAGACAAATAGCTGAGAGCATCAAAGTATGAGAAATAGCGACAGGACGATTCTGAAACATTGATGCATCATGATATAGAATACCTAGGTGCAACACAATTAAGTGAAACTACTGTTGCACATGGAAATCATGAATACTGAAATAATTCACACACCAGTGTCCTTCCTTCCCACATCTGTAACAGTCTCCTTTCCTGCCCATCCCTGGCTTCTGTCTGACCTTACTATGTGACAGCTGAAACATGTACAGTCATTGTCTGTGAACATACATACTTAATCAAACAACTAATATGACAAAAAGTAATAACACATGGTAACTCTTTTACACATAAACATATTTAAGTATTCTGTTGGCAGTCTGAAACTTTTGCCACTGGTCCAAAATCTGAGTCAGGTATGGTCAACACATCAACACCAAAATTTACTAAATATGATGCTAAGTGACAAGATCACGCTACCTGACACAAACTTGTTTAGCATAGACTCTGATGGGCTAATTATTGAATAAATTCATCTAAAAAACTTTGAACTTGGTGTCAAACTTGCAATATCCCAACCCAATCATCACAGTCATGGTGGATCACAAAAAGCTGTTCGGACATGACACTCAGGTCGCCGACTGATATGTCATACATTGTTACCACCTGATCTCAATAAACTCTTTTGACAAGCATGAGATCGTTGAGTACCTTTCTGCCTCAGCAGGATGGAAGAATATGGTAGTCAAATTACTTTTCAAGAACAATCAACTTACCTCAACCTTAATGTTAGATCCTTCAAAGTTTGATCCATCTAGGTTGTCAACAGCAGTTTTAGCTTCATCTGCATCAGCAAAGTGCTACAAAAGACACACAAGTGCTACATACAAAATATATCTGTCGTATATAAACATTTCAGTCTGTCAGCAATAACCCCGAAATTAACGATTTTTTAACTCACCAAAATAATATTCTAATAAGAGCCCCCTATTTCTAATTTTGAGAGCACCCTGGGTGCTTATTACGTAGAATATGGTATGTGTACAGCAATATACACTGCATAAATTATCAAATGTACATAATACAGTAAAACCACAGGAAAGCTGGCATATTGTATCGTCAGTTGTAAATCGGTGGTGCATTGATGAATCAAGACACTATTGACTTTAGCAATTTCTACTAATCCTGTGGATACCTACAAACATGGGATGAAACTATAGCAGTAGCACCAGTTCCTGATTTAGCAAGTTTCATTGTTTCAGAATTGACTTCAATATTGTTGAGTTTATGGAGGTATATAAACATACAAACCTGTGTGTACACTGAGTAAAACTGCAGATAAATCAGTTAGCAATAGTAACTCTTCAAACTGTAACATTAATCATTAGACAAAAAACTGTAGACAACAGTATGATATCAGTGATTCAAGTGATTCTGTAAATGCTGTGAATCAAAATACTTACAATAAATGCATAATTTCTGATGATATCACACTCTACAATACTTCCATATGCCTCGAACATTCTCTGTAAATGGATTTTGGAGCATGATTCTGTAAGGTTACCCACAAACACTTTTGTGGGTACTTTGCTCGACATCTGAAATAAAATTAAAATAAACAACTTAAATCTTAATTTATGTGTTTTGTTTGTTTGTGTTAATGCCACACTCAAAAAGATTCCAGCTGTATGACAGCAGCATGTTAACAATCGAGTCTGGACTAGATAATCCGGTTATTGATATTCACGTGATATTGGGAACGATTTAGGCTGTAGGGCTATGATGACATGCTATCAACAAGTAACCACCATATCCATTTGATCACCTCTTGCAACCAGCATAAGTTGCTGGAAACCCTACCTAACCAGGAATCCCCATGGGGTACCTAAAATATGAATGACATTAATAATATATAGGATATGGCAATGAGCATGATGAAAGGACTGTAGAGTGCTCATTTTAACTGATCATGTAATGTTTTTTTAAGTTTCCTTATGCTTATAGTAAAGAACAGCAGCCAGACCTAAAGGATAAAAGAACATTTTTCTTTGGGATTAACACTCCACTTAACATGCTTAAAATTCAGCACTTTAGTCATTGTTGACAAACAAATATTTTAAAATTTCTCGCATCATATGAAACAGACACTGTAATATATGCTTGACAACAGACATGTATTAAAGAGACAAGTTCAATATGTGCCCACTTGCGTTTGTTGAGATTCTTGATTGGAAAAACATAAACAGTGTTCCTCCCTTATTCAGTTTTTTATAATAACAAGAACAAAAGTGAGCGTGGCTCACTAATACCCCCGACCCGCCTAGTGTGTCAGTTGTTTCAAATTAAAATAGCTAGGATAGGGTTAGGGTTTGAAAAATTCATTAAAAAATGGAAAATTAAGAAAAACAATTTTTTTTCTTTTGACTGCACCCCTCCATATGACACAGATTATATGTAGTAAGTTTGAGATGAATCAACCAAATAGTTTAAGAGAAATCACGAGGACAAAGTTTTCGGACAGACGGACGGACAGAGCCTTGGTATAACTATATAACCCCGACCTTTTAGGTCAGGGGTATAATAATCTTTCAGAAAAATGCACTTGAGAAACATGTTTTATACAGTCTTAAACATGTTAAGTAATATTAATAAGTAACAAGGAAGGTCCAGTGATCATAAAGCATACACCCAAGGGATAACATGTCAACTGGCCAAAAATTCAAATGCAAATGTAACCTAAAAGATCTACAGGTATCGGCTACTGGTAATTAGTCAGCGATAAAAACTAACAGTTTTAGTCCACTAGTCCAGATAATGATAACATATAGCAAAACCTTTAAAAAGGGTAAATTTCTACTAGTTCTTTGCATATCTTTACTACTGTGTAGTTTGGCAAGACTATAGGAGTGAGTGAGTTGGGTTTAACGCCACTTTCAACAATATTCCAGTTACATCACGGCGTGTCAGCTGAATGTTGGAGGAAAGCCTGAAGTGATGCAGGTTTCCGACGTTTACCACTTTGGGAAAACCCATGAGTATAGGTATGGTGCTGACAAACCCAGAAACATAATAGAGGCGAACCTGTACTATAGGACTAGTGTCAAATTCTAACACTGTTTGCCCATGTTTTCACTTGAAATGTCAATGGTGTATGAGATGTTTAGCATACTCTCAGTTGATATAGTGTTTTATAAGTGGTCTTATTTTTGTTATTATTATTATTATTATTATTATTATTATTTTTATAAACATTATAACTGTACATGTTACATTATTATTGCGAAATAAAATATACATTTAGGGAAGCCTTTCTAAAGTTTCCTTCACTTCCTAGAGGTCCAGATGCAACACCAGATTTCAAGGCATATGCAAATTTCAATGCTGCACTCAGATTACAGTGTGTTTTGAGGTTTATTTGACATGTGCGAAAAGAACAGTAACTCTTCCTGAAAGTGATGTCATTTTTTATATGCACATTTGCTTTGATATTTTAGTGATGCCTTCAAATTACAAGGTACACTTAAAATCACTGTACACCTTAATCACAAGGCAAGGGAGGTAACCAACCCATGGTGTATTTTCTAAATGGAAACAGTATTTCTCTGTTAACTGCAATAAACTTTACAAATGCAAAAACAGAAAGTGTTCTACAGACATCTTTAATGTTATCTCTTGCGTTAAAACTTCACCAATTTAAAAAAATCGATCGTACCTCGAAGTTTGAATACAGCAGCCTGATTCACTATCGAGGTAATGATTTGATTGGTTAATCTCGATCCTCTGATTTCATATTGCAATGAATTGAAAACTAAAGTTGCTGAAAACAAAACTTTGTGGTATTTTGTAAATATACAAGGTGTTACATGGAGATTATGTTTCAAGCATATGGCAAATCATAATGATACAAGATAGTAGTGGTAAATATGACAGACGCCCAGTAATTTGAGTGTGGCTTTGAAATTGACATACACCTTGAAATCTGATGTTGAGTCCGGATCTGTTTAACATGTTGAATAAGAACAATAAATTAAGAAACAAAACACTTTCATAATATTTAGAAAATATATATACAGAAATACATCTACAAGGAAAAATTGCAATAGCAATAGGCCTTTAAAACCATGGTTTTTGCTCAAAAAAGAAACAGAATGGCAATTAATGAAGGATGAAAAAAGCTATATTGAACGGATTAATGATGCTGATGCACTCTAGAATCAGTGAGCCTGGCCTATATCTGCATGTACAATCTTCTACTCAGTTTCAGCATCACTTTGCGAAATAACAAGAGTTTCTTGAATTCTTTTTCCTTATTTACGTCGAAAATAACGTGTACGCCTATACGGTCTGTATACAGAAAGGTACCCTAGCCAAAATCAAAATACGGAAAGGTACCCTTGAACAAGTCCATTCTGCCACAGGGTGCAATGCGCATAACCTGTTCTTTAGGTATTCGTCACTTCCTGTATGCCAAACAGGGGTCAAATTCAACATGGCAATACGTGTTCGTCAGGAGGAACTTTTTGATTTTGGAAGTAAAATGCCTTGTGATGTATGTATATTAATCTTATATTCCGGCAATATTCTGCAATGCATGCATGCACTCGTAATCAGGCGAACTGGAACTACAACATGAACCGGTTTCGGATTGGGAACATGGACTCATCTGACGTTTAGGGTAAGTTTCTGTATCCTGATTTCGGCTAGGGTACATTTCTGTACATAGAAACATACCTGGGGTAGTACCTGTGCTGACAACAACCGCTTTGGCCTCATTTACTGGTTTTGTTCCATGACTCCTTAAATATTTCTCCTTACATAAATGATAAAGATCATGAGGTGAGGTGAGGTGAAATGGGGTTTAACGTGGCATCCCGGGTTATTGCACTTATATAGCGACGTGCATGTACGTGTGTGTTTGTGTGGCTGCTTGTACTAGTCCAGACTGATGTCGATTTATAGTGCTAGCTCACTGAGATACCATGCCGCAGTTTAACATGAATACCCCACTCAGACACAGTATACTGACTGCCTACCATCCCTTATGGATCATGAGTATTGCCTGATGCACTCTTTGAAAAGGATTTCTACATTTCCTGAATATTATTGGACAGCTGGGTGAAAAATAAAGCACCGTTGGAGGCTTTCTTCATTGGAGTTCTGCAACGCTTTGGACGCAAAATTTACCAGTTATGCCTATGCGTGCTCTTCCGTGTTGACAAGCCAGTTAAGCATGTTATTACCACAAGACGAGGTTTGGAACTTTCATCGACAAGCGTTCTTTTCCTAGTTGTCCCTCAACATTCACTAGTATTAATAATAGTATTTCGCTCCGCAGACTCCTGCTTCCGCAACAATATGAACAAGCCACCATTTTGAAATCGGAATGTGACCAACTTCTGATAGTTCATAGATTAACGAGCATTTAGTCTTTCATATATATTGTCGAACTGTTCAAATAAGTACCATGCATGTTACAATAAAACAAATAAAGCATTTGTTATTGAAAGGAGTTGAAAAAACACAATATTTACATTAGGTCTTGGTTTTCACGATGTACTGACGCTTTGTTTCTGTTTCGTAGCGCCTCCTGTTGGCAGCAGATGCTCGCAAGGGAGCTAACTAATGTAACGAAATTTACCACATAACCTTACTAAATGTTATGAAAAAAATGTTTGGTTTGCCGATTTTATTTTTGAAAAGTCATATGATTACAGTAGACAATCGGGGCGACAATCTCGCGTACACATGTTGCTATTGCTAGCCAATCGTCTGCCCGCTGAACATTGCCGAACGATAGTTGTAAATCGACGCCAAACCACAATGTAAGGAAAGCTGGAGTTCTTTCCCTTGAAGACGATAGGTGGCGCTAAAAGTTAATTTCAGCGTGGTTTCAGTATGAAAGAAGAATAAAAGAAAGAGGCCGAAAACCTAATACGCAGCAACAGACGTTTTTCGTGTAGGTTTGGTATAATAGAGATTAGAGGCTGACCAAATCATATTTAGAATATTTTCGATGCAACGTTGTCTCATTGTTAATTAGAAGACCATGTAACTTACAAACTCGCAGACGAGGCAGAAGGCGAACGAGACTCGCAGATGAATCCAAGCCAGTGTGAATGATCATTCTTACTTTTTCTGACCTTTCATGAAAATTGTCAGATGACCAGGAACAACTTCAGTTTTTTAGAATTGGTCTTGTGCATTAGAGCAAATCCGAGAACAAATAAAGATACTGTACAGGCTTTACAATAGGGCTAGGTTCTCTATATTTTTGGTAAAAAGTAAGGAACAGTCTACCAGCAAACCCAATCAGTGACGAAACGTTTGATTCTTCTTGCTCGAATTTGGTTTCTAAGCATTATTTGCAGTGGATTTTAGTGTTGTAATATGGACTGAGCTCACAAGACTAAACATAATGTTATTAGATTCGGGTTTGGAGTTGCAGATTAAGAGTAACTGGAACATTATTTTTATTAAGCAAAATATAAATTTATGTTCCTTCATCATGTTCATGAATCTGAATTTGCCTTTTTAAACTTTTTTTCCAGACCTGTTGAAAATGAGTACAAAGCTGTATGTTGGCAATCTGCCAGAGACCTGTCGTAAGATAGATCTGGAGACTGTGTTTGCAAAGTATGGAACCGTTGTGGAGTGTGACATTGTACAGAACTTTGCCTTTGTGGTAAGATCTTCTATTTTCAAAGTGGTAGACATTATCCCAAAATGTTGACTATGTTTACCAGCCCAAATACTGATAAGATACAACAGACCTGTGACTTGTAATTTTCTCAGGATAAATTTAGCATTAGACGAACTGACTTGAGCTAGTGAGAATTTCTGTCCCTACCTTTAGACCACGACAAAGTACATCTAGGTTGTAGTATCCCATGCTTGTTGTAAAGGCAGATTAAAGAGGATTGCATGTCATCATGGTCATGCCAGGTCCAGAGTCATTATTACATGATGCAGGCTGCCATGACAAAGCTTGAATTAAACAGAATTTACAGTCACTTCTAGTTTTATCAGTTAGTGGCCTCCTCTGTGGTCTAGCGGATAGATTGTCTGCCTGGAGAGCGGAATAAAAAAAAATATATAACAAAGATGGTACTTGTGATTACTAGGGCTGTGACGATTCACTCGGGTATTCGGTGAATTGAATTGAATTCGTTATTCGTGGCCACTAGAATCGAATATTTATGATCATGCAATCATGCGCATTAACATAAAAATATCCATAAGAACATATATATGCATAGATTTCTTCAAAAGACAACACTCTAATACTATTTAATTTGACAGTATTGTGGTCACTGGTCATTGTCGCATTTGAGCAGATACTAGCACTTGAATAAGTGCAGTGTAGAAATTTATAATATATTAATAATTAACAAACCATATCAAATATTTTGTTGTTATTGCTTCACCGAACATAACAAACAATACATCAACTGCTTACTTGTTATTATATTCGTGAATTAATATTCGTATTCGTTTCCCAATATTAGTGATACGATTTGTATTCGCCTCATAGTGTATTCGTTGCATCCCTACTAATCACTCTGCTTGTATATTTTTCTATGGGTAGGGTTCCTTTGTTGACCCTGCTTGATTAATTATTTGTTGGAACTTGTAGTGTACCAGCCAAATAGGGGTGCTGGGCACGACATAGAATCTGTACTGCAAATACAAAAATCGAAGACATCTTATCAATCTCAGTTTAGACATGCATGGTAGTGACAAAAAAAATATCTGGAACAATCAGTTATTAGCAGGCCCACTCCCTTCTTCCAAGACGATTCCTTCCACATGAAATGTTATTGTCTGTCCAAGATCTAGGTCATCTTGGAGTTTATTGTAGAACATGGATGTTTTATTCATTGCCAGCACTTATATTTGTACAATCCTGAAACTAGGGTTAATGATCATGTTGATGGACCTTAGTCTAAGTTAAACATGTTAAGAAGTTGTCCTTGGGGTTAAGGAATCTGGATGTAAGGTATTTGGACTGGGAGTTCACAGCATGTTAAGACTTGGAGGAAGCTTTCAGGATATGTTGGATTGTTGATGGAGCTGCTTCATTTTGGCAGTGCAAACACCTCTAGTTTAGAAATAAGAAGATTAAGATCTAAGAGCTTTGTATTTGACATGCTACAAGTAGTATGTGCATTGGTTTCAGCATTATGAAAAGGCAGATGATGCAAAAGTGGCCGTGGAGATGACCAATGGTATTGATTTAAGTGGCAGTGCCCTAAAAGTTGAGGTAGGTTATATATTCTTCGAGCCACAGATTGTGGAACATTTGAAATGCTACCCAGCACACATTCCTTTGTGTCTTCTGGCATAATTTAGTTGTGACCTCTTTGTCATCAAAATTCCATTCTTGTCGTAACCATCTCTCATAAGGCAAGGGAGATAACTGACTATAAGTCCAGTTTCAACCCTTGCCGAACAGCGTTGGAATTATGGATTGTTTGTTTGTTGTTGAACACTGCATTCAGCAATATTCCAGCTATATGATGACAGTCTGTAAATAATTGAGTCTTGACCAGACAATTGACCAGTGATTGACATCATAAGCATCGGTCCATGCAAATTGGGATACAATGACATGCATCAACCAAGTCAGTGAACCTGACCTTCCGATCCTGTATTTGCCTTTTACGGTAAGTATGGGTTGCTTTAGACCTATTCTACCCCGGATCTTCATGGGTCTGGAGTTATGGAGTTATGTTTTGGAACGACTAACAAGTCTGTGCATAGTCCAATCAAAATCGCTTAACGAAGTCGACATCCAGTGCTTAAACTGTCATCCAGATTTCAGTCTATTGCAGGATTTGCAAGGCATGTGTGCCACCAGATATTTTCCAAATCTTCTCTTGTTTTTTATGAATCTGCTCGCATGATTTGATGCACTTTGCAAAGTAAGACCTGTATTATGTCAATAATAGTTTATCAATCAGATCTCCTTGACAGGGCCCAGCCATTTTGCTTGAAGCAAGTACAAGTGAAATGAGAGCGGAATCTGATTGCTCAATGGGAGGGACATAGAAAGGACATAAAACTCGTAATAGCCACTGGTGGCGCTACGATCAAGTCCAGAAATTCCATCCTAGTTCGGCAGTTGTGGAACCTGGACCATACTGTCAGTTAACTCCCTTCCTTTGGGAAGAGACTGCCTCCGTGGTCTAGTGGTAGAGTGTCCGCCTGGAGAGCGGAAGGTCCAGGGTTCGATCCCCGACTGCATCATACCAAAAGACGTTAAGGGGCTAAAACAAGGACTGGTCGGCTCGGAGTCAGTATACTATGTCTGAGTGGGGTATTCATGTTAAACTGCGGCATCGTATCTCAGTGTGCTAGCACTATAAATCGGCATCAGTCCGGACTAGTACAAGCAGCCATAACATACACGTGCATGCACGTCGCTATATAAGTGCAATAATCTTGGACGCGACGTTAAACCCCATTTCACCTCACCTCACCTTTGGGAAGATGTGTCATAACTAGCTATATGTGGAGTTCTTTGTACCGAGGACACAATGGTTTTTTTTATGTATTCTACCACAGGGATATTTGTTCATGCAATCCACCTGTAATCCAGGATAAGTTGAGCACCTCATAAACTTAAACTGACGGATTCATTCCTCCTTGTTTCAGCTGTCACATAGCAAGGTCCGACAGAGACCTGGGATGGGAGGGAAAGGAGACTGCTACAGATGTGGGAAGGAAGGACACTGGTGAGGACATTTCTCACGTTTTGGACAATGTATGATGAAACCTTGTTGACGTACGGCAAACTGTTTCCTTGTCATGTCCATTAAGACAAGGCAACAATATTGTCCTGCACAATGGGCTCTCTTTTTGAAAGATATAAGTGACTGTCCAACTTGTCGCTTCCTGTCTGGTTCCAAGGTCAATATGTGCTGTGACAACTAGAGGCATGTAAAGATTGAGCCAAACTGAAACGTTATCCTATTGCACATTCATTCAAAAACAGTCATTTACTACTGTATATTTTTAGCAAATATTATGTAGTAATTATTAGTTTACAAAATTAAATTTTGTGCAGTCTTTAAAGCACAAATTGACACAGCAGCATCATTCCACGTCATTTTCCATGTCAGGAAACAGCAATGGATTCTGTCAGGGTAACATTGCATTGATGAAAAAGTCAAATAATGCACAAAAAATTTATATCAGCCTTTGTGTTATTTCCCACGAGAAGTTCTTAACCATTGCTGCATTAAGATTTTAACAAATAGTTTTCATATTGACAAGGACTTCAATGTAATCACTCAACAGCTCACAGACATCTTTGACAGACCTTTACCTATGATCTATGATTATTATACCACTGTGACTTTACTTATAGTTAAAGAAGAAATAATGTTCAAAATTAGCAACTGATTTTAAATGCCACTTCATGACAACATTTCCTCTAACATCTGATTTCCTTTATTGACAATATTGTTGAGGAATATACTAAAAGAAAATCTACCATGCATCTATCAATCAGTTTCTTAGTTGTAATACAGTAGAACAAGGATATAACGAACACAGATATAGCAAACAAACAGATACAACGAACTGTTAAAAAGTCCCTGATTTATCTCCTATATAATATCATATAAAATTTACGTATATAACAAACTCTCTACAGCAAACTAATGGATACAGCAAACTGATATCTGATCACCAACAAGCCCATCTACCACTTATTAGTGACGTGTAAAGCAAACTAAGAAATCTCACTCAGTGTCAAGTGTCACTGACAATTGGCTGTCAGGCCTCAAAGTCGCGACTGAAACGGTTGCCAATGTGGCCTTAATTTCAATTTGTCCACTGACTAAAATTCAGAGGTCGCCAATAGGCTACCTTGAAAAATATCTAAATTCTATTGCTTCACATACATAGACACAAACATAAATATTCTCTTTCAGATTAAATCCTCCTTGGGGCACTTATTGCATTTTCCTTGCTCAAGAAAATCTACATGACATAGTTGTAACCATTTTTCCTTAACAAAAAATGTTACCACACAAAAAACTTTGTTTTTGTATGATAATATGACCACCTTTACAGTGCCTCACCCTCCACGGCACCCTTCGCCAAGGGGAGTAACTCTCACCCAAATCACTTTCCTTATGTCATTCGACTACACAAGACGTCTGATTTTTCAAGAAAGTTTTCAAAGAACCTAATCGTTCACTGAGAATTCAACCATTTGCACAGCATATACGCTTAAAGGCAGGGACCCCCCTACCAGGTTGAAGGCTCATTCGGTTAGAGCAGTGGCTACGTCACAAGCGTACGCCGCAGCTCTGCCCATTGAGGAGATCTGCTCCGCTGTTTGAGCCAGTCAAGCACGTTCATCAAACATTACCAACTCGACAAACACTCCAAGTTCTACATCTCAAGCTGATTGAGCCTTCAAGATTTTAGACAGTCCTCTCGTTATACTGCTCAGTAATGGTCCGGATTTTATCTTCTTCGGTCGATAAATATCAGTCCTTACTACTCGATAATTACTCGTATCTGCACACGCACTCCTTCAATCCTCTTGGAACCTCTACGCCCCATCTCACTCGTTAAAAAAAAGTGTGGGGGTGTTCGAGTTCTCGAATTATGATAAGCCACACATTACTGGCTATTTCATAATATATGGTCGACCACGCCCTGTCTCTAGCCCCTGCCTCTCGAAGGTGGTGCCTCACAATAAGGTTGGTTCCATTTATTGAACTTTTTTTTATTCATTGAATAATCGGAATACAATGTATTTATTTACGCTTGTTGCTGACGGATGCCACTTCCTAGATTATCTTTAGGAGTCTGTCTTGATGCAATAAGTGCCCCAAGGAGGATTTAATCCGAAAGAGAATTTTACAAACCTGTGGAGGTTATGAATTCTCTGATGAAATCCTCCTTGGGGCACGGCCACCCACCTCCCCACATTCCGTCAGCATTTGACATATGGAAAGTGATTTGGGTGAGAGCTACTCCCCTTGGTGCGGGGCGCCGTGGAGGGTGAGGCACTGGTCATATATCATACAAAATCGGAAGTTTTTTGTGTGGTAACATTTTTTATTAAGGAAAAATGGTTACAACTATGTCATGTAGATTTTCTTGAGCAAGGAAAATGCAATAAGTGCCCCAAGGAGGATTTCATCAGAGAATTCATAACCTGTCATCATGGTTTGAAATAAAGATTTACCCATATTAGTCTGCCTCTTATAAAATGTGTCCTTCCATTTCGGGCTTGGCGTCATCACAGGTGTTTATTTATTTGTCCATTTCTTACAGAATCCTGATACTCATGCTCTGAAAATAGTAAATTACAGACAAACTGACTACCCCACAAGATACATGAATAGATGTGAATGATATTTTACATTACTTCCCTTACCACGCATGCACTATCATGCTACGGCTATATATCCTGATTTTCAGTTAACAGTACTTCAAGACACCTGTAGTCTATTTATTTAATACTTTTTTGATATAGCAAATATGCTTTTATATAGTTAAGTCAAATATTTATATCATGACAAAAATGCAAATGTTAACCCCACCATTATTCCATGTAGATATGTCTAAAAATGCATTTGTTTTTGTTATACATGTATTTGTTTCTACATACAACAAATTATACTTCATATAATGACTGCTAAAATGTCATGCATGTGTTATCTAATACTACTATTACTAGCACACTTGCACAAGTATACAATGGTATTAAATAACATTAAAACATTGTGATATGCAGAGATCTATTGATGTATAGATGAAAAATGAATAATATTATTAATTTGTTTGTGGGGGAATAAAAAACAAACAAAAGTTTAGAATAAGGAAACATAAAAAGTAAGGTCTAACGCTAATGAAATTATGAATGAGCTTTATCAACTACAGTCATCTGAATATTGTCAAAGCAGACTGGATGTAGACACTGCAATGTTAATACAATCATCCTTGTAGTTTTAAAATTAGTTTGAATATATTATTGTAATTCATAAGATGAAAATTGTATATGATATTAGTACCTTTGAATATGTATATGAACCAATGATATAGGCTTTTCTGTGTCAAAATTTTTATAATGCCATAATAATATAGTCTTTCTTTTATTTATTATTGAAAAGTTATCATGGTAATTAACCCTTTAAAACAAATATCAAAATGGATTTCGGTGATTTCCAGTTCTGTATTTTGAACATTGTATTGTAATATGTACACATGATGTAGTGGATGACAGAATTTGTCAGTGCCTGTTTCTTTCAGTTCTTGAACAAAAGTTCTCACCTCTCATGGGTATATCCCCCCCCCCCAAAAAAATATACTCAAAACCCAATTACTTTAAATTAACTTGCGTACAGAAAGGCACGCATTAAATGAAATATTCAAATGTGTAAAAACAGCTTGCGTGAATACCCCAATGAAGCTTTTTCAGCAAGCATACGAAGGAGCTAATTTCCCAGACACAATTATGAGCTAATTTACTCTCCTATGTTCAGAATAATTATATACATCTAAAACATTATTTCATTGTTTTTTAAATCTTAAAATGTTCACTAATTTGGGAAAAACCCAATAGAGTGTTGAATAGATGAGTGAAAAGATTTTGGTTACCCAATGAAAAATCTGATAACCCAATTAAAATAGAAACCCTAGAGTAAAAACTCAATTGCTCAAAAAGTTATCTGGAGCAGTATACAATTACAATATTCTTTATATATAAAAATGTGACATTCAAACATCAAGGACAATACTTTTAGTACCGATTGCAAAACATCAACAAAGCGACCTGGAATGAACGATCAGCTGATCGCACCACCCTGCTTCGAACGTCTATCAAGGAGTTATCTATACAATATAAGCAGTCATGGTCATTCCTGTTGTATCATTGAATCACGGAACATATAAATCAGGACATGACAATAGACAGCCCATTGTTTAGGCGAAAAAAAGATATACTGTTCATACACCAGCGTGAAGGCTCGTATTGCACATAACACATGCACTGTCAATTTAAGGTTGGGCTGTCTGGGTCACCCCACCTAGTGGGTGAGTGAAGAAGAGAGAAAATTGAGAAAGATTGTGCATGAAGGGGTCCGAGGTCTTGGTGCCATAGTTTGCTGTGCAGAGTTTCCTCCCATGGTCCTGCCAGAATAATTTGATGGTGATGGTGATCATGATAATCATAATCATATAACATGGTTATTAATTTTCAGTTTCTGTGGGTGTATGTGTAGTTTTAATATTCCATTGGTCAAAGTGGTAATTCTCACATCAAATTATGCCTCTGAATTCTTTTGCTTCTCAGGTCCAAAGACTGTCCAAGGGGACCGTAAGTACTAACAGATACTTTTATTGATATTATTTCGAAATTATAGTCTTCTAAATGTCCAAACACAAAATTGTAAAGACTTTTTGTTATTTGATATTCTATCCATTGATAAAGTCCCTGTTCTGTTTAGTTCTGCAACAAAGACCATTAATAGTCTTTAAATGATCTTGCCTCCATGGGCTCTGTTATTCAGAGTTACTTCACTCCAGCTATCTGAGGATCAGCAGGTTGAGGGTAGAATTCCAGAAGTTGTTACCCTGCTTATGGGTTTCACCAAAGAAGTATCTAGTTAAAACGATCTGTTACCATTCGGGATGTCATTGTTTCTCGCTATATTGATGTATTGATAAATGTTTGTTTTCGATACTGTATCAGTACAAATTATGAATATTGATCCTAAATTAATACTTCACTTCCACCAAAGTTTAAGATTACCATGGTTAAGATGGGTAATTAGAAGGCAAAAAATTAAATTTGAAACATTTAGCGAATCAGCTTAGATCCTTTTTAACAGTAAGTCGATCAATTGCAGGTCAAGATAGGAATTTTTATCTACACACGTACAAAATAACTCATTTTGTTATTAATTGATATATTGTTATATCAGTGATATATCATAATACTTCAGAGTCAGTATATCAATACTAATCTTTCCAATCCATGACAGCCCTTATTACCAGCTGTGTGGCCATTCCCCTCTGAACTTGAGTGTTGGTTTCAGTGTTCGAGGTCGTGGAAGAAGTCCTGGTGGACCAAGGAGAGGATATGACCCCTATGACAGGCCCTACAGGGATCCCTATGCTGATCCTTACTATCGTGACCGTTACCTACCGCCACCTCCACCCATAGACAGATACAGGCCTTATGCTGACCCCTATGATCGACGCCCCCTTCCCCCACCACCAAGGGATCCATACTACAGAGAGAGGGACCCGTACGAGAGACCGCCTCCGGAGTACTATGGGAGAAGGTCACCACCCCCAAGGTAAGCCTCGATACATCTTGGTGATAAAGATGGCAGAATCAATGATGTTGTTAAGTTCTTCCTTATGCATGTTAAAGAGGTTATCTTGGCAGTTTAGAAGATCAAGCTTGGGTCTTGCCCCACGCTGAAGCACATGTGGTGTTGCCTCAGGCAAGTGACTGTTCAAAATATGCCTCTGTTCACCCAGCAGTTAATGGTTAGCTCAGTAGGAGGAGATGATGATGTGACACATGCAGGTACAAGGCATGCAGGCATGCACGCACATTATTATGTATATAAATGCAACGCGACGTTAAACCCCATTTCACCTCACTGGGATATGATTATCTCACTCCCCTACCTCCTTCACTCCTGTTCACCAAAGTTTTGTATGTCATCATTGTTATGTTTCAGGGATGCTTATTACGACAGCTACTATGCCCGTAGTCGGTAAGTCCTTCCTGGATTGTTCCTGGAGCCGTTAAGTTCCTTTGTGTTAATTGGAGCAGATGTGTACCAACATTCTAAGTATTGCCTGTCCAGCCAGAATCGGATGCTGACTCTCAACAAATTATTAATTCCTGTGTCGTATCCTCAATAATTTGTTTTGATATTTTGGTAGGAATGTTTCCAAAATTGGTAAATCCCATAAGTAAGTGTGACTTTTTCAAGGTGTTTGTTATGCTTGAGATGTTTTTGTTGAGTTGTTGCTTCAGTTTGAGTCTTCTAAAGTCTTGCTTCACCTGCTCTGGTAGTCGTGGAATTGCTGTTCATGGTTTCCAAGTCAGGGAATTAGGAAGGATGAAATTAGGGAAGTTCTGGTTTCTGCCGAAACTGTCACCTGGAGAATATAAGAAATAGAATAAAACATTTGCCCAGGCAATGTGGGAAAATAAGCACTCTCTTATGAATTTTGGCAGCTAAAAAGTTGCCTTGGCTCTGGTAAATGTGAATTTTCATAAATGATAAAGAAATATCAATATTTGAAGTTTCTGTAAAATGCTGGAATTATGTAATCAAATCAAATGAAAGCATTACCAATCAATTTACAGCAAAGCTGCACTGGCTGTGAAATGAAAGGCAGGGATTAATGTAGACGTTTTAAGAGTCCATTTCTTCAGCAAATATTGGCAAAAATTCTCAAATTGGAATAAAAGAAGTTCCGTATGTTTGGGTTGAGCAAGGATGAAGGGAACAGAGATAGAAATTACCACTAGTCTGAGGTAGTTTGTCATATGTTAACAGTATCCTGAGATATATTTGAATGTCAGGCTTGGACCTGGGGATGTCACTACACAGGCTAGTTAACATGTTAGGTAAATGTCTAAGGCTACTTGTATGTGACTTATAACAGGAACAATAATGAGAATAGAGGTTTTCTCTTCGGTTTGACATTAGTGCGATGTTATCATACCCCTGAATTCAAGAAAAATTGGACTTTTTTAAACAACTAAAAGACTACAATAGAATATAATGACATGACGAAAACATGATAAGCATTTGTTACTTTCTGGATTGTTAATTTCATTTTTTATATTTTATTTTATTTTGCCTTGAATTATTTTATGACAGTTACAATTTCTGAAATTTCTTAAAAGTGGGCTTTTTTCATGTTATTTTATGCAAGCAATTGTTTGCCAAAGGAAATGAACCTTTCTCCAAAAGTTTGGCAGAGCTGGCAACCTTTCTGAATTTGACAAGAGGTCTTCCAAAGATGGACACTAACACTTTCAAGTTTCTGGACCATAGAAATAAATATTGCGAAAGGTCCAAAGATCATTGATTCTAAATCGATAGTAACCTTGGTCAAATTTTGTCAATGTGAAGCAATCTTGTATATTATTTATAAAACCAGTCTAAAACTTCACAATAAACATGCTTATCGGGTATGTTGGACTTTTGGGGGCACAATGGTTTAAGATGCTGCTTTTGGCTGTTCAGGGTTGTGTCCCTTAGCTTTGCCAGAATCTGCTGATTCAAAATCCAGATCCCCCAATTTATTTTACGTAGTCTGGCAGCCAACCTATGCTGGGGTTCTGCCAAGTTGCATATGTGTCTAAAACCTGTATCACTCTTTCCCTAACATCAAGCTGACATGTCGCGATATACCTGAGATACTGTTCAAAGCTGCGTTAAGCCAGATTGACTTAATCTTTGATTTGGCTTAGGCTGCCATATTTAATAGTTTCTTTATTCACTGAATTGTTCAAATGACAAACTTGCTTTGGTTAAAAATTGAAGGTAGGCATCTCTAGACTGTTTGTTCGGTATGCATGCAAGTTCTTCAAATGCTTACTATTTGTTGATGATTGATTTGCAAATTTGTTTCTAAGTTGTTGGCATCCTAACCAGTGTGTCAATGAACCCAGATTATCTGAGTCATTACCAGCATACTGTTCACTGAAACATAGGTAAGGACAAATCCAAAGATAGAATGTAAAGGTAAGAAATCATAAGATGACATTTGATGGCTTACAAAGATTTTTCAAATTCAAATCCCAAAGTCTCTTTATTGTCGAAAAATATATTCACATCATATGAAACTTGATAAAATCACACCTGTGCAAGGTATGTCAAGTGTGTATAAATTTGGGAATATTTACTACTGATGGTGATAGATTAGCCTGCGATTTTGCATTAAGATAAATGATACAGGGTGCACACAGGGCTTGAAAACACCCTTCAGTTTTACTGGGGATATTTAAGTGTCAAGTTTAGGCTTGGAAATACAAAAAATGGTCCTTGAATTTTTAATTTGAAGGACGCTTAAAAGTCATGCTTAGAAATACAAAAAATGGCCCTTGACTTTTACTTTGAAGAACATTTAAATGTCACATTTAGGCTTGGAAATAAAAAAAACCTCCTTGTTGCCAAGTTGAGTGGTCATTGATGATTAATTGTCTTCAACATTGAAGATGTTTGGTAAATTTGTGGCACTGGTCCAATTTCAAGTTTTATAATTTTACTTACCTTGAGGAATAGAATGAAAAGTCATCTCAACAACTGAGCAGTTAACCAATGTAGAAGTTGTGTTAATATTGTTGTTAAAAGAAAATTTGCTTTAAAAGGTCCTTGAAATTCTTGGGCCCAAATCTGTATGAAGCCTTTGATACTATCATACGAGCGTTCCAATTGTCTTTTCTTGGTTTGCACGAACAGTTACCCTCCACCACATCATCTGTCAGAAGCGAGTCGGTCGTCTCCTCCGAGAAGTCGCGTGCCTGGTCCATACTGACATAGTCGGGTGCAAAGATTTAACGTGAGGAAGAATTTGCGATGAATACACCAGGAGTTTGCGGAAAGGAGCACCGAGTGTTTAAATACATGAACTCTTCATAACGGACTTATTGCGTCTCGCACAGCTAGCCCTTCACACCAGTATCCATGAACAATTATTACTTCATGCTTTTTACAGTGGCGGTCGTGGTAACAATTTCGATGGATTCCTTAACTCGCCTTTCATTACTGAATTTAAATGTGAATCATGTTGTTACAAATCGCCAGTCTTTTCCTCATTATAATTATATATTTCATATCAATCGTGTTAATTTCTGTTAATAGTTATGTGTTAATCACGCTGCGTTTTACTGTAATAAATCGGTCATCAGTGATGTTTAATAATATTGCGATTGTTGTGTGTGTGATCTGTAATATTTAAGCATACGTTTGCTTCTTGCACGGACCTATTTCAAGGGCACGTTTCAAATCGCTAAACAATGCCGTCCGAATTAGTAGTAAATGTGTCCATATTCCTTTGGAGTCAAATGTGGTACTTCATTACATTCTAAAAGACAGAAATAATCGTCATCATTCAACGCTGTCTAGATTGATGAGAGGAGAAATATTGCATCATTTTGCTGACGAAAGAATAAAATCTGTTTCCAAAATTGCTGCCATGCTTGACTCTGATTCGGAGTCAGCCTCATTAAAATTTTCTGTGGCTTGATAAAGTAAATGTGGTTATTACTTTTTGACAATCTTGTTCAAGTTTCTATCAGTTTCTTTATACTCAAACTTGTTTACTAATTAAAACTCCTTTTGATAGAAGAAGCCTTGATGTTTGTTGGGTTTTTTTTTGTAGTAAATGTAAGATTGCCAACGTAAAATAGTCAAATCTGTTTAAACTATTGCTTAAAGGGCAACAGAAGGCTAGTAGTAGGACATTTTCTTTGTCAAACCAAGTGTCTAAATTACCAAAAGTCTTTGTATAGCGATATAGATTTTTCTCTCACCTGGACCCAAGGTCCAAATGAGTTTCCATGTTGGTGTGTTTCCAGACAAGTCATCCATTACAATGTTTGTCTGTCACTAGATTAACTCCTCCCTACGGGAGTGAGTTGGAACAATGCAGAGGATGTTATAAAGGGGACTCTGTCTAAACAGGCATCTGAGTACACTGGCAGTCTATACACCAGCATATATTCCCAGTCCCGGCCTAACTTAGTTAAAACATCATTACTAAAGTCTTGAGTTTTCCAGCATCTGTCTGTTTCAGATGTCAGATTTCAATCTCCAAATTCCTCTCTATATACAGGCATTGTTTTCTGACAGATCATCCTAGCTCAGAGGATTACTGTAACAAGCTCTAAACAGTGTTTGTGTTTACCTAGCAAGTCTATTAGCACTGTTAATTTGGAAACAAGTTAATAAAAATATGTACAACTTTATGGATAACAGCGATTAAATTTATTGCATATAGCAACTTTTCAGTGTAGATTCTTACACCATTATCAAGTTAAAGTGAATCTCTTCACTTGGTTGTAGTCACCCTAATTTGATGACATTGTAAAAGTCCACATCAATACATTGCTCTATGCAATAAATCAGAAGTTGTTATCCATAAAGTTGTACGTTTGGTTATTTACTCTCCAACTTCTAGAATGCCAATCAAACAGGAAACAAGTTATTTGGTGTGTCAATCTGAAATAATCTGTTGGAAGAGTTGAACCGTCAAATAAACTGAAAGTTTTATCTCTTTAGTTGTTTTCTTTTGAAATTGATAAACTCTGAGTAATTTTGGTCATGGTTCAGATTGTTTACTGTAGTGTAAATGAAATTTATCAATGAAGAAAAAATTAGAATTGTAGTTTTATTTGAGAAATTTAAGAAAATCAAGTCATAAAAATGGGTAGGAATATAGGTCCCCAGCAACCTATGCTTGTCTCCACGTGGGGATTTTGGCTAGGAATATAGGTCCCCAGTAACCTGTGCTTTTCTCCATGTGGGGATTTGGGGTATGAATATAGGTCCTTGGCAACCTATGCTTGTCACAAGAAGCAACTACAGGGATTGGGTAGTGTGGATTGATGCTCATGATGTCAATCACTGGATTATCTGGTCCTGGCACAGTTATTTACAGACTACCGTCATTTAGCTGGAATATTGCTGAGTTTGGCGTTAAACAGCAAACAAAGCACATCGGACTAGAAGATAGATTTCAGCAACGTTGGTAAGTTCTATTGACCTAAGGAGATGTTAGTGTTCGAAGATGACAAGCTTTACATTCCTAGGTGGGTACCAATTTTTACTGTGAAGACTAGCAAGTGATCCATTGGCACTTCTTTGTTGTTTCTCATGTTTGTTTCCATGCTTTGAAAGGGTTTCTAACAGTGATGAGAACTGCAGGTCGTACAGAAAACTGTTCAGGGCAATCTTTGAAGATTTTGGCATCATTTTTCGTATTTAATGGTTTTCAGAGTTTGAGCTCACCTTGACCTTGTCATGGTATCGGTCAGATGTTGCCAGCTGACAAGCATAACATTTCTCTCAGATATGAGCATTGAAACAGGAGGTGATTCAGATATAGTTGTATAGTGGCTTATGGTCTTTTGACCTTGTGTTGATCTATACCTGTTTGAAATATTACCACTCAAGCTTCAGTGCGAAAGTTGTTTGACCAACCCAGTTTTTCAACAAAAACTCACCTTTGTCAAAATTAGACAAAAGTGGAGGATAAGGGTCCTTTTTGGCCCAATTTAAATGTGACATTTTCAAGTTACGAAAATCTCTGTCTTGACGATATAATTTAATCATAAGAAAGTCTGTCATTCATGGATCTATTTCCTTATGATTGTGCTGTCTTTATGTACATTTCAATAGAAAATCAACTTGGGTCAAATATTAGCAAAATGTACCACCTGAAAACCTAAAAATCATTTGAATTATCTGATAACTGAAGATTTTTATCTATTATTAAATGGTGCTCATTCTGTAGACCAAAAAGGACATTTTCATACTTTGTCCTTCGACTGATATTACTGGGAATAGAACCACCCAGAGTAAGATGGTTTCACTGTACCAGTTTCATTTTCCTAAACAATAACATTGATGTATACATAAATGTAAATTTGTTTTAGATCCCTAAATTACATTTGCATCAGTGTTATAATGGAAAGTGGTGAGTCAGAAATGCTTAATTGTTACAAAACTATGACTTTGTTTTGTAGCTGAAAACAACTTAATTCCTGAAGAATACAGCGGACATTACACAGAGAAGATGAATGGTATGGCAAGTTTAAGTTATTTTGTTTTGAGATTCTTTTCTTCCACACACTTTATTGTTTGTTGATGTACAGCAATATTCCAGCTGTCACAGCTGCCTGTAGATACTAGTAATCAAGCTCAGGACAGACATACAGTGATCTGTGTGAGCAACGTTCCATGCTGTTGGTCTAGAAAGACAGACAAGTCAGACTACAAGATCCAATTTAATGCTTCACTGCTGGCGACTTTTTTAGTTGATGGTTTCCTCTTGTTGAAAGTGAAAACACTTTGGATTTTCCTCCAAAATTAATTTGCTCACAAATTATAACTCTACAGATAGCGAAAATGGCCAAGAAACTTTGTGCTTTTAAGTAAACGGCTGACTCAGATTGGTCCACAATGCATGAAGCCTAACAATGTGTTGTTGAATTGTGCTTCAGCTGTTGAGGATGCCGTGGAATAAATGAACACGAACACTGAAGATGATGAACCGGACATTCCATGAAGTTCCCGGCAGGAGGCAATCCCGTGACTCCAGTTTAGTTCCATACATTGTCCTGAAATGGTAATTTCCCCTTAATACAGAATATTTTACACTGTCATCAGTGAGTATCATTGAAAACTTCTGATTGTACAATGCAAATGTTTAAAACTTGTTCTTTCTATGCAGTACTGTAATGAAGGAAGTCCCCATCACTCAATAAAATGAAACATATGGAATATCCTATTTATTATACACTTTTTCTGTAGATATCTACCGGAAAATGAATTATTTCATTACAAATGTAAAAGCTTGAAACGTAGATTCTTCCTACCTAACACACTGACTGTTCACCATCAGTTGTATTTGCGACTTAAAAAGTAGTTTTGTGTTTGCAAAAGCATCCAAAAATATTTAGGGTCCCAAAAACTATTTATCATACATTAAGATATGATAATATACAAAAACAACTTTAACAAAAACTTGAAAACTAGGAGACCGCTGTTGGAATCGAAAGAATCCATGCTGGTCAAGTAACAAAAATGGCAAATAGTCTTGATTGACGAGTTAAATGAGAAATTTACAGTTTATAACGAAACATTATCGAGAGAATTACAAACGTCAAGAAGTGATATTAACTCCATAAATAATCATATGTCATTATTTTGCCTTGTCAATGTGGAACTAATTTAAAATGGACGTTAACAGTCATATAGTGTACGGGCTAGACACGTTCAAAAAGGGAGACAATTTAAGGGGCGGTAACTCTTGTATGTTATAGTTCCATCAAAGTTAAGTTCACTGCAATGAAAATATCACTTTTCTTAACATCAGAAAACTCAGTCTTTCACACTTAATAAATAATCAATTCATATATTCAGGTTTTTTTTGTCTTTGCTTATATCATTATACACCAGATTCTTTAATGTGACTAGTTAATCTTACATGACAATTTCTTCTGAGAAGTATATATGCATCTTTGGTCAATAGTTACACTTTCCGAAGTTGTTTCATATTTACCGTGGTAGACACCAACTAGAGAACAGCTCATTTCAGACTTCTGGCTTATGTACAGTAACTAGATTTAGAGATACAGCAACTAGTCCCTCTAGATTGTCGGTAGTCTCGGACTTCTGAACCAGTGGCTGTGTCTATCCTAGGTGACGAATCTTTCATTACCGATACTTGTACATTGCAGACGGATCAGTTTGGAGCAACACAGACACTCATCCAGGCCACAGAACGATGAACCAGTCTTCTATTTGAATATCTTCTTGAATGAAGAATTGAAAACTACTTGACATTTGATGCCACTGAATTTCCAGTGTAAATAATAAATTCATCAATTACATTATGCAAACAAACACTTTCTCTTAAATAAAGTTGCTGGTATAAGAAATAGAAATATTCTGTTTTTTCATATCCGACAGATGCAAGTTTCTTTGGGACCACAAGCCTCAACAAAGTCAGTCTACACTTGTGGAAAAATTGAAACTCAATGGTCATGTCTAACAGCTGAGTGCGAGAGAGAGTGTGAGTGAGTGAGGTTTACACGGCTTTTAGCAATATTGGCTTCACTCAATGTACTCATGCATGGAATCGAACCTGGGCCTTCAGCCTGACAAGCATACCCTTTGACCACTAGGATACTCCACCACC